CAGGGCCCCGGTCGGCCCCCCCACCCCACTGGCCGGCCGGGTGGGGCTTAAATAAGCCACGTCTGGTGTGTGAGGTGGAGGCCACGCGGATGTCTGGCAAGGAAGCGGGTAGCTAAATGATGATGTTGAATTTGAGAGACAGGTGGAGAGACAGAGACAGAGGGAGAGATGGAGAGACAGAGTGAGAGGAGAGACAGAGACTGAGAGAGAGATGGACAGATGGAAACAGAGAGAGATGGAGAGACAGAGATGGAGAGGCGGAGAGACAGATGGAGACAGAGGGAGAGATGAGAAACAGATGGAGAGAGATGGAGAGACGGAGAGACAGAGAGATGGAGAGACGGAGACACAGAGATGGAGAGACGGAGACAGAGAGATGGAGAGACAGAGATGGAGAGACAGAGATGGAGAGACAGAGATGGAGAGACTGAGAGACAGATGGAGACAGAGGGAGAGATGAGAAACGGATGGAGAGAGAGACATAGAGATGGAGAGACAGAGAGATGGAGAGAGAGATGGAGAGACGGACAGACAGAGATGGAGAGACGGAGACAGAGAGATGGAGAGACAGAGAGAGATGGAGAGATGGAGACAGAGACGGAGAGAGAGAGAGATGAAGAGACAGTGACAGAGAGAGATGGAGAGACAGGGACAGAGAGAGAGATAGAGAGACAGAGAGAGAGGGAGAGACTGAGAGAGAGAGGGAGAGACTGAGAGAGAGGGAGAGACAGAGAGAGAGAGGGAGAGACTGAGAGAGAGAGAGGGAGCTCGCAGGCATGGCCGTGCTCCGAGGAGCCACGTGGCTCCACCCTCCTCCGTGAGTGGCAGTGACGACAGTCCCTTATTTCATGCATTGAAAATAAGCCACAGGTTTCCCGGCCTCCCAGAAAACGTGGCCACTACCTCATCAGCCACACCCTGCTCTCTTCCTTCTCTTTGCCGCATCTAACATGCTGAAGGTTCGCCTCCCCTTGGAGAAAAACAGCCCCAGCTTCTCTGCGGTTTGTGTTTTTCCCAAAATCTCAGCCTGATAAAGCTCCGTCGAGTGAGATTTTTGCCTCAGTCATTCATCTGGGTTGACACGCAGACGCTCATGTTATGTATGCACACGCGCACACGCATCTGTGACTTTTAAATTTCTTTCACTTAAAAGTGCAGGTGAGGCCGGGCACGGTGGCTCACGCCTGTCATGCCAGCACTCTGGGAGGCTGAGGCGGGAGGCTCGCTCAAGGTCAGGAGTTCAAGACCAGCCTGAGCAAGAGCGAGACCCCGTCTCTACTATAAATAGAAAGAAATTAATTGGCCAACTAGAAATATATGTAGAAAAAATTAGCCGGGCATGGTGGTGCATGCCTGTAGTCCCAGCTACTCGGGAGGCTGAGGCAGGAGGATCGCTTGAGCCCAGGAGTTTGAGG